GTGTCTGAGACATTGTCTGCAAGCTATGATTCTGTGAGTACAACTGTGTTAGGCTGATACTTAACTAGTCTTTGGGACAACTACCTCCAATTTGAAACAAGCCCCCACATGTTAGGAAAGGGGTCTTTGCAGGGTTGCCTTGGCTGTGTTTGCACTTGTTTTGCCATCTACTGTGGTTTCATTCCTTTCTTTAAGCTCTGTAGTGGTTTTGTAGAACTGAGTGGTTGACTATGACCCGCTGTGGGTCTGCTGTCACATAGGCCAGATTCGGTAGGATGGTGGATTTCCTTCCCTTGAAGACATACGAGACATGTACTTGTGACAATCGTTACTTGGTTGCCATTAGGCTAGCATTTAATTCCAAATTCAATAAAAATATGAATGTCACCGTCTGCCATGGTGAGATTCAAAACCATATCTCCAGAACATTAGAGTAGTACTTTGGTCATGTCACTGGACTACTGATCCAATAGACTACCATTTCCTGTATTACTTTACTGTAAAATTCCAGAGAGCTCCTCCTCATCTCAATTGAAGTCCTTAAGTGGCCATTAAGTTTCATTCCTGCCCCAGTCTTCAGCAAAGGGGTCTGGCAGGGAGGAAAGCTGGCACGTTGCCCTCATCAATCCTCAGATGAGGGATTGGGAATGCCTCCATTATTGGGCCCTTTTCAAGACCAGGTGCTTCAGCTGAGGCATCAGTTTCTCCTTCATAGCGCAGTGTCCTAATTTATAGTCACATAACATGGAAACAGACCCTTCGATCCAACTAGTCCACGTCGACCATGTTCCCAAGCTAAACTAGTTACACCTGCCTGTGTTTGGCCTATATCCCTCCAAACCTTTCCTATTCATGTACTTATGCAAATGTCTTAAACATTGCAACTGTACCTGCATCCACCTCTGGCAGTTCATTCCACACACTAACCACTCTGTGCAAAAACAGTTGCGTCATGTCCTCTCACCTTAAAAATATGCCCCCTCGTTTTGAACGCCCCCACCTTAGAGAAAAGACCTTTGCTATTTACCTTATCTCCTGATTTTACAAACCTCTTAACCTCCTATGCTCTAGTGAAAAAAGTATCAGCCTATCCACCCTTATTTTTTAAACTCAAACCCTCCATTCCTGGCAACTTCCTGGTAAGTCTTTGCTGAATTCTCTCCAGTTTAATAACAAACTTCTTATAACTGGCTGACCAGAACTGCACACAGTACTCCAGAAGAGGTGTCACCAACGTCCTGTGTAACCTCAACATGACATCCCAACTCCTATACTGAAAGGTCTGAGCAATGAAGGCAAGTGTGCTAAATGCCTTCTTAACCACCCTGTCTATCTGCGACACAAACTTCAAAGAACTATATACCTGAATCCCTTGGTCTGTTTGTTCTACAACACAACCAAGGGTCCTACCATTAATTGTATAAGTCTTGCCCTTGTTTGTTTTATCAAAATGCGATACCTCACATTTATCCAAATTAAACTCCATCTGCCACTCCTCAGCCGTTGACCCAGTTGGTAAAAAGCTCTTTCTGTAATCTTAAATAGCCTTCCTCACTGTTGACTATATCACCAATTTTGGTGTCATCCACAAGCTTACTAACTATGCCTTCTATATTCTCATCCAAATCACTTCAATAAATGACAATCAAAAGTGGACCCAGTACCAATCGCTGTGGAGCGTTGCTGGTCACAGGCCTCCAGTCTAGAAAATGACCGTCCACTACCACCCTTTGTCACCTACTGGAAAGCCAATTTCGTATCCAATTGGCAAACTCACTATAATGCTTACGCGAAGCACCTTAGGACATTTCATTACACTAAAGGCACTAAGTTGATTACACATATTGTGTAACATTAGCTAACATATGCTGATTGAAAATATTTCTGTTTGTTCTGGTGGGAGATTTTGTTTATCGGATAAAATGAGGTAAACTCAGACCTATTCCATTCCCAATAGAAGTATTTATATAAAGGAAGAAAGTAATCTCTAAGAAATGATGATGAGTTCAGAAACAAGCAATGAATATATGTCAAGAGCTGAACTCCGTACTAGATGCAAGGCGTTTTTTAAAAAAAAGTGGTAACATTTAAATAAAGAATAACAACCCAGTCATTGAAAATCTCATTGTACCTAACAAAGGGTTGGAATGTCCAAATTTTTTAGAATCACATGGTATAGAAGAGACCCTTCAGCTCACCGAGTCTGCAACAACGCAAAGATAATCTAGTTATAGGCTAGTTCCACTTTCATTGGAGGCACTTCAGATAGGGTTCACAAGGATGACCCCCAGTATGGAAGGATTGTCTTATGAGCAAAGACTAAACAAGTTGGGACTCTACTCACTGGAATGAGTGAAGTGATCTCATGGAAACATGCTGGATTCTTAAGGAGCTTAATAGGGTAAATGCTGACAAGATGTTTCCCTCATGGGAGAGTCTAGGACCAGAGGATGTAGTCTCAGAATAAAGAGGTGCCAATTTAAGACTGAGATGAGAAATTTTGTCTTTCAAAGGTTGTGAGCCTTTGGAATGCCTTGCCACAGAAAGCTGTGTATATTTAAGGCTGAGATAGATAAATTCTTGATCAGTCAGGAATTCAACAGTTGTTGGGAAAACATAGAAAAGTGGACAGGATGAATATCAGATTAGCTGTGATTCTGTTGAATGGCAGAGGAGGCTCAAGGAGCTGAACAGACTACTCCTGTTCCTGTTTCTTATGGTCTTATACTTTCCAGCACTTGGCTCATACCCTTCAGTGTTATGACATTTCAAGTGCTTATCCAGTACTTTTAAAGGTTGTGAGGTTTCCCAGCTCAACTACCCTCCCAGGCAGTGCTTTCCAGATTCCCACCAGACCAGGCAGTGCATTTCAGATTCGCACCATCCTCTGGTGAAAAAAGCATTTTCCTCAAATCGCTGCCTTTCACCTTAAAATTGTGTCCCCCTTGATATTGAGCCTTCAACTAAGAGGGACAACTGCTTTCTATCCTCCATGCTGCTAATAATCTTATATACCTTAGTCAAGTCCCATCAGCTTTCTCTGCGCCAAAGAAAACAACCTGACTTTATCCAGCCTCCCCACAGCTAAATTGCTCCATCCTGGCAATATCTTGGTGAATCTTCTGCACCTGCTCCAGTGCATTCATACCCTTTGAATAGCCAGTGACGAGAACTGCATACAATATTCCAGTTATGGTGCAACCAAAGTCCTGTGCAGCTCCATAATAACCTCCCTGCTCCTAGAATCCATGACTGATAAAGGCAAGTGTCATGCATTCCTTCTTAACTATCCTATTAATTTAGTTCTGAGGACGGGTCACCCGACCCAAAACGTTAACTCTGATCTTTTTCTTCACAGATGCTGCCAGACCTGCTAGCTTTTCCAGCAACTTTGATTTTGTTCCTGATTTATAGCATCCACAGTTCTTTCAATTTTTATCCTATTAATTTGACCTGCCTCCTTTATCGATCTGTGGAAAAGCAACCCCAAGATCTAAGCTTCCTAGTGTCCTGCCATTCATTGAATACTGCCTTGTTTTGTTACTTCACCCAAAGTGCATCACCTCCCACTTATCAGGGTTAAATTCCATCTGCCACTGATTTGCCCATCTGACCAATCCACCTATATCCTCCTGTAACCTAAGACCATCTTCCTCACTGTCAACCACCCAGCCAATCTTTGTGTCATCTGTAAATTTCCTTATCGTTGTCCCCGAACAGGCAATCCCAGCTCCCATGTTTACTCCTATGTCGTTTATGTAAATCATTAATAGTAAGGGACCCAACAATCCAAATAGATTGCCCTTGTCCTTAATGGGCCCTACTCTTTTTCCCTGTTTACCCTCTTCCCCTTGATGTACTTGCAGAATATCTTGGAATTCTCCCTAATCATGTCCCCTCTTTTTGTTTCCTGAATGCTTTATTGTCCCCCCACTGCCCCCCGACCTCCCCCACCCCCCAGCCTGCCATACTTTTCAAACTTCACTGGGACCTCTGCTGATTTCCTCCCTTTGTCCCTGTTAAAAGCCTCTCTTTTCCTTTTTATCTAGTCATGAATATACCAAGATTCTGGATTTTCTGGGCTTGTTGCTCCTACACTTTGCCCTAAAAGGAACATATTGGGCCTGGAATCTCACAATTCCATTTGAGCACCCCCAAACTGTTCTACCTTATCTTTAGTCAGAAGTAGCTATTCCCAGTCTACTTTGGCCATATTCTGCTTTATTTTAATAAAATCTACCCTCCCCCCAGTCCAAAATCCTTTTTTCCAGACCATCTTTTTCCTTTTCCTCTTCCATAACAAACTTCAAATGTACAATGTTGGGGCCGCTATTGCTACAATGCTTTCTCACTGCTACCTTGAACACCTGCCGAGCTTCGTTCCCCAGCATAGCAACGTTCCTCGTTGGACCACCTTCATGTTAATATAAAAGCTTTCCTGAATATAGTTGAAGAAATCTGTTGCCACGGCCAACCACCACCACAAACTCTACACTATGACTCTCCCAATTCATGTTGAGGAAATTGAAATTCCCTAATATAATTAACCTATTATTGTTTTTACATACCTTACTAAACTGTCAACACGTCTACTCCTATATTGCCCACTGACTATTTAGAGGTCTGTCCAGCAGTGTGTCTGCCCCCTTTTTATTCTTGAGCTCTACACAAAGCCTCATTTGAACACATTTATAAGATATTGTCCTTCCTTGCTGCAGTCACTGAATCGTTAATTCATAATGCAACATGATCTCTTTTACATTCTCCACTGTTCTGCCTGAAGATCCTATACCGGGCATGTTGAGCGCCAGTCATGCCTGTCCCTCAACCACATCTCTTTGGCAACATCGTCACAATTTCACGTGTCAATGCACACCCTTAACTCATCTGTCTTACTTATAATACTTTCTTCCAATAAATTTTGTTCCATTGTTATAATGATATGTTTTTCGGATTGATTTACCATTGTAATGTGCTGACAAAAAATATTTGCTTTTCAGGTGGCAAAGACAGAAGAAGTGGCCTTATCCTAACAATTCCATTATGTTCAGAGCAAACAAACATGGATGAGCTAAGTGTCACTTTGGATTACTTGCTCAGCATTCCAAGGTGATTTTTCTTTCGTGCATTCTAGCTGTATTTTTTTAAAAAGTGCTATTATGTTTGTACAAATTATTGCTCAATCTGCAATTTTTTGTCACTGATAGCAATTAAATTTGTTTTGTCAGGTATGGTGATTATCTGTGGAGATTATTTTCTGATGAGTCAAATGCATTGTGAAAATGCATTTTATAAGAATTTATTGCAAGTATTGCACTATGAGAACTGTGAAATGAACTTTAGGGATTTCTTGTGATAAATGGCTTGTTTGTATTTCATCAAGGGCTGATGATAATAAGTGTTATTCAGCAAAGAACTAATATTTTATCCTTATTCATCCTGTCTACCTTTCTTGCAAATTTGTCAGTTGTACATAGGATGTGTGCTTTTGAAGTTTAAAGCTAAACTGAAGGCAGACTTTTTAATTCTTTCATTGCAAAAAACACTGAATTTTTATTTCAAATGTGCATGTGTGTCTGTGCCCAGAGACACGTACAATGGGCAACTAAAGCAAATCTATGGTATGAAATATTGTGGAAAATTGTGTGTTAATGAGAGAAATGTCTAATTATCCTGACCCCAAATTTTTTTCATCATTAGACCCTATCTGTTGATCTCTCATCTCACTTCATATTAGATTCTATACACAAGCGATTAATTTGTTGTAATTAAGCTGGTCAAGACTTTTTTTAAATTAACCTATTTTTCCAAATCAACTTGTTCAGAAATGCTATTACACCCCTCTGGATCAGGTGGAACTTGAACCCAGGCCTTTCTGGTCCAGGGGCAAGGACACTACCACTGTGCCACAAGAGGGCACCCAAAGAATTTGAGGTGAGGTAATGCTTTCTGAGCCTGATGTGACTCGAACACGCAATCTTCTGATCCAGAGTCAGACGAGTTCTTATTAAATTACAAACTGATTTTCAGGTACATAGTATTCTATAGCCACCTGAACTAGCTGAAAATCAGCAATTCAAGGAAGTTGGGCAGCCGTTCTTTTCCTATAAATCCTGATATCTTTTTCTGGTCTGTTTGAGAAATAAAAAGGGTTATTTTACTGGCACTATGCTATTTGTTACTGTCATTGAGTAGGAGGAAGAAAGCCACAGAAAAGAGGCCTGAAGAGTGAAGTTCTTCAGCACGCACTGGACCGGAAATGTTAACTCTGCTTTCTCTCCATTGATGCTGTCAGACCTGCTAAGTTTCTCCAGCAATCCCTATTTTTGTTGGATTTCCAACCTCCACGGTTCTTTTTTTCAATGACAGTACAGTAGTTGTGTTTTTCAAAGGCCTTTGGCAGATTCTTGGTTTTAAATTTTTTTTTGAATTACCAACAGAGGTGAGTGATGATGAAACATATGTGACAGCTGTATTGAACGTTTCCTATATTAGCCAATATGTTTCATCAGGGTAGGGGGAAACATGCCACTGAAAGCCTGCCTGATCCAACCATGGCAACTAAGATGGCTAAAGAGCTTATTTGAGAATTTGTTGAGAGGTATATTCAGATTTTAAGTGGGTTGCCCAGATTGTCTGGGTCAGACCAGGTATACACAGCTGGCAATTCAGCAGTCAGCCAGTCATAGCCCAGCACAGGGACTCGGATGGGTTCATTGAAGAGGTAGATGACCTGGGGGAAACTTGGCAATTAACATACAGGTATTAATAGATCACCACAGTATTTGGGAAAGTGGCCAGGAACTAGGTGGGCATTGCAAGAAATTGTCAACCCACTGGCATTATGGATAATACAAAGGGGAAAAAGTTGCCAAATCCCATCTGAGTGTGATTACAACTGACAGCAGGGCCTGGACTTTCAATGATGTTATTACAAGAAATATCTTTGCCACAGGGCCTTGCTGCACAGTTGCCTTATGCTGGTTCAGTCAGGGGGACATGGGAGACAGCTATCATCCTCCCACACAGTCATGGCTCTTGACTGGTGCTCCAGATAGCTGGCGGGGCAACCAGCTTTGATACAACTGGCGTTTCAAATATCACTGTGCCAACACTGCTGCCAACTGGTCAAGTTTATGTAATCTGACATGCATCCAGTGAATATCCATACGTAGTTCCTATGTGCACTTGAAGTGTTGCACATAGTTCTCCATGAAGTTAGCCACACACGCTCAATGGAGAAATTTTTGGACTTGAGCCTTCAGCTTTGTTAGCGCACATGGTGGCTAGATTCCTGACTGAACATTCTATCAGGGAACTCTAGTATGTGGAAGCAAATCTGTTATTGCTGGTCTAAAAGTACAATCTCATGTGAACCTTTATCTGTGCCCAGATGTGTAGAATTGTGTATGTCCATCTCGAGACTTAGCTAGTTCTAAAGGAGATATCTGAGGAGATTGTAGAGGCATTGGTGATGATCTTTTAGGAGTCACTGGAGTCAGGGAGGGTCCCAGAGGACTGGAAAATGGACAATGTAACAGCCCTGTTTAAGAAGGGAGGCAGAAGACAGAAAGCTATGGGCTGGTTAGCCAGGTCCTGGTTGTTGATAAGATTTTAGAGTCCATTGTTAAGGATGAGATTGTAGGGTACTTGGAAATGAATGGTGAAATAAGGCTGAGTCAGCAAGACTTCGTCAAAGGGAGGTTCTGCTTTACCAATCTGTTAGCATTCTTTGAGGAGGTAAACAGCACGTTAGACAAAGGAGATCCAGTGCATGTCATAGAATCATAGAGATGTGCAGCATGGAAATAGACCCTTCAGTCTAACTTGACCATACCAGCCAGATATCCTAGAAAATCTAGTCCCATTTGCTAGCATTTGGCCCATATCCCTCTAAACTCTTGGTATTCATATACCCATTCCGATGCCATTTAAATGCTGTAATTGTATCAGCCTCCACCACTTCCTGTGGCAGTTCATTCCATATACGTACCACCTTCTGCGTGAAAAAGTTGCCCCTTAGGTCCCTTTTAAATCTTTCCCCTCTCACCTTAAACCTATGCCCTCTAGTTTTTGACACCTCCAGCCTAGGGAAAAAACCTTGTATGTTTACCCTATCCTTGCCCCTCATGATTTCATAAACATCTATAAGATTTATAAAATCCCTCAGACTCTGATGCTCCAGGGAAGGTAGCCCCAGCCTGTGCAGCCTATCCTTATTGCTCAAACCCTCCAACTCTGGCAACATCCTTATAAATCTTTTCTGAACTCTTTCCAGTCTCGCAACATCCTTCCTACAGCAGAGAGACCAGAATTGCACAGTATTCCAAAAGTGGCCTAACCAATGAACTGTACAGCCTCAACATGACCTCCCACTTTCTATCCCCAATGCACTGACCAATAAAGGCAAGCATACCGAATGCCGCCTTCTCTATCCTATCTACCTGTGACTCCACTTTCAAGGAACTGTGAACCTGCACTCCAAGGTCTCTTTGTTCAGCACACTCCCAGGACCTTCGCATTGTGTACAAGTACTGGCCTGATTTGCCTTTCCAAAATGCAGCACCTCACATTTATCTAAATTAAACTCCATCTGCCGCTCTTCGGCCCATTGGCCCATCTGATCAAGATTCCATTTTATTCTGAGGCACCTTCTTCGCTGTCCGCCACACCTGCAATTTTGGTGTCATCTGCAAACTTACGAACCAGACCTCCTATGTTCACATCTAAATCATTTATATAAATGACGAAAAACAGTGGACCCAGCACCAATCCTTGTGGCACACACTGGGCAAACGACTATAGTCTGAAAAATGTCCATATTACAGAGGAGGAGGTGCTGGATGGTTTAAAATGCACAAAAGGTGGATAAATCCCCGGGACCACCACCCTCTGTCCGATCTTCGAGGCAGTTCTGTATCCAAATGGCTAGTTCTCCCTGTATTCCATGTGATCTAACCTTGCTAGCCAGTCTACCGTGAGGAACCTTGTTGAATGCCTTAGTGAAGTCTTCATAGATCACGTCTACTGCTCTGCCCTCATGAATCCTCTTAGTTATTTCTTCAATAAATCAATCAATATTAGACATGATTTCCCAAGCACAAAGACATGTTGACTATCCCTAATCAGTCCTTGCCTTTCCAAATACGTGTAAATCCTGTCCCTCAGGATTCCCTCCAACAGCTTGTCCACCGCTGATGTCAGGCTCACCGCTGTGTAGTTCCCTGGCTTTTTCTTACCACCTTCCTTAAATAGTGGCACCATGTTAGCCAACCTCCAAGTCTTCTGTCATCTCACCTGCGGCTATCGATGATACAAGTATCTCAGCAAGGGCCTTAGCAGTCACTTTCCTAGCTTCCCACAGAGTTCTAGGGTCTACACCCGATCAGGTTCCGGGGATTTATCCACTTTCTGTGCGTTTTAAGCTGTCCAGCATCACCGCCTCTGTAATATGGACATTTTTCAAGATGTCGCTGTCTAGTTCACCACGTTCTGTATCTTCCATATTCTTTTCCACAGTAAACACTGATGCACAATGCTTGTTTAGAATCTCCACCATCTTCTGAGGTTCCACACGTAAGCAGCCGGGCTCCTCTTTAAGGGGCCCTATTCTTTCTTTTGTCCTTAATATATTTATAAAATCCCTTTGGATTCTCCTTGTCTTTGTGGATTATTTAAATTGGGGCAAATCATTCTGACAATAACACAGACCTCACGTCTTAAAAGAATTTGATCATGGAGAATCAGAAAACAAAATCTGTCCATAACAAAAAGAACTGCAGATGCTGGAAATCTGAAACAAAGACAGAAATTACTAGAGAGACTCAGCAGGTCCGGCAGCACCTGTGGAGAGAAAATGGAGTCACCGTGCCAGGTCCAGAAGAAGGGTCACTGGAAAGAAAACAAAGGCAACATTTCTGGTCCACTGACTGTTCTTCAGGACTGTTATGAAGGAGCCAAATAGACCCAAAACGTTGAATCTGCTCTCCTGCCACAGATCCTGCCACACGTGCCGAGTCTCTGCAGAAATCTCTGCCCCTGTTATAAATCTATCTGTGACACCTCAACTCCATTATCAGCAAATAAGTCCAAGAACTTTTTTCTCTCTCTCTCTTTCTCTCTGAGATCCCTTTGCCTCTCCATCCTTCTGTAAGTCTCTGCAAGCTCCATCTCTTCAACAATCTATTAGTCACCGCGTCATCTTTTCTTATCTGGCTGAAGTCTCTATACCTCTTCTGAAAGGGAACTTGTGTAGTCTCATCGTATTTGTACTTTTTCTGTGTTCTTTTGTGGGGCATATGTGCCACTGCCAGCATTTGTGGCTATCCTTATTTGCCCTTGAACTGAATGGTTTGCTAGGGCCATTTCAGAGTCAACCACTTTGCTGTGGGTCTGAACTGACATGTAGGCCAGACTTGGTAAGGAGGGCAAATATCCTCTCCTGAAGGATGGAATTTGACAACAATCACCACTGACTTCCAGTGCACTTTTAATTCTGGCTTTCAATTAATTATTAATTGAATTGACACTTCACCAGCTGTCATGTTAAGATTTGAACCCATGTACCCAAAGTGTTAGTCTGGGATTCTAGATTAACAGTACAGTCATATGACCATCACCATTACATCACCATCTGCCTTTATTGCATTTTAAATGTAAATAGTTGTTGGCAAAGTGCCATTTTGTTATGTCTACAATTATATCTACATTTAAAATGGAGTTCCTATTCAAGTCATTAGATTCAACCATGTGATCTATTTGGATTTCAGAATGCTTTTGAAACAAGGTGTCACACAAGAGGCTGCTAAATAAGATAAGAGCCCATGGTGTTAGGGGAAAGGTATTGGCATGGATATAGCATTGGCTCACTGGCAGAAAGCAGAGTAGAGAAAAAGGAGTCTTTTTCAGGATGGCAACCCTTGAATAGTGGAGTTCAGCAGGGTCAGTGTTGGGACCACAGCTATTCGCGTTATGCATTAACGATCTGAACGAAGAAACTGATAGAAAGATTGGTGGAGGGGCAGGTTTGTTTGGGAGGATAGGAAAGTAGGTAAAGTGGCAACTGGGACACATTGTGGGAAAGTGTGAGGTTATGTACTTTAGTAGGAAGAACAGAGGCATAAACTATTTTTAAACAGGGAAAGGCTTCAGAAATCTGAAGCACAACGGGACTTGAGAGTCCTAGTTCAGGAGACTCTTATGGTTCAATTGGCAGTTAGGAAGACAAATGCAATGTTGGGATTCATTTCAAGAGGGCTAAAATTCAAGAGCAAAAATGTGCTACTAAGGATGTATAAGGCTCTGATCAGATTCCATTTGGAATATGGTGAGCAGTAAGGAAGGATGTGCTGGCATTGGAGGGGCTCCAGAGATACTTTACAAGAATGATCCTGGGGATAAAGTGTATGTTATATGAGGAGCGGTTGAGGACTTTGGCTCTGTTCTCGATGGAGTTTAAAAGGATAAGACGCGATTTGATTGGAACTTACAAAATAATGAGAGGCCTGAATAGAGTGGATGTGAAGACGTGTCCACAGGTAGGACAGACTAGGACCTGAGAGTACAGCTTCAGCATGAAAAGACCTCCTTTAGAACTGAGATGAGGAGGAATTTCTTCCAACAGAGTGTGGTTAATCTGTGGAACTCATTGCCATGGAGGACTGTCGAGGTCAAGGCATTGAGTGTATTTAAGACAGAAAAATAGGTTCTTGCTTGGTAATGGGATTGAGGGTTACAAGGAGAAGGCAGGAGAATGGAATTGAGAAATATTTTAGCTGTGAGCAAATAGTGGTGCGGCTCAATGCACTGCATTGCCTAATTCTGCTCTATATCTTATGGTCTTATGGTGTGCAAGCAACTTTGTATCAACAGCAAAGAACTGAAAGGGATTGGAAGAAACCAAAAGAAAACAGCTCTTCAACTTCTATGGTCCAGACTAGTGCAAGTAAACTGGTTCCCAGACTTTCTTTTCCCCTTTCCTCCTTAATATGCGTGCCTTATCTATCTTTGTATATTTATTTGTAAAGGAGGGAATTTAAAAAGGGTGGGGTTTAAACTATAGAGAGTTGTAAGTTCATATGTCCTAAATACCATTGGTTAAAGGCAATCAGTTGGTAATAACGCTATTTTCATGCTATATACGGAAACATGGTGATTACTTTCTTTTGACATGAGTTTGTCATCTGGTAAATTGGGAAGTTTGGATAGTTTGACTAAACTTTTAACTTTTCGTGATAATTTGGGGAACAATGGGGCTTGATCTCCTATGTAGTCTCCCTAGTGGGTCATGACAAGTAGACCCTTTTTTTGTTTGTTTTGTTCAGGTTTGTATAGTAAGATTCATTTGGGAAATGGGAAAAGGACTGTTTTAAAACCAAGGACTGGAAAAGGAATTGTACACTTCTGAAGGCAGCTTATTGAAACTCATTGTGCATTGCATTTATACTGTTGCTTTGGGGAGAGGAGAGATAAGATGGCACGTATGGGCATGTACATGCACAGTGGGATTCAGTAGGTAACGGATTGCTGATTGGTTTGTGCAGTTGTGACCAGTTGTGGATGCTGATGACAGTGCTCTGATTTGATCCTGGACAAGTGACCATCTGGTGTGTGTGAGAGTGGAAGGTTTTCAGATTAGAAGAAGCAGGGTCTGCCTCTGTATCTCTGCAGCAAAGCAACTTGGGCTTGGAGGCAGTCACGTATTCTCTCTGACTGTTTGTTTGCCTGTAACCAGTGACTCTGAAACTGAACAATGAACATGTAAATCCCCCAGATCCTTGGCAAAGAATTGAGATTCTAGAAGGGAGGAAGAAGATTGGAGAACGAAAGGTCTAGGGAATAAAAGAAACACTTAATTGAAGACCGTGGCCTGGTGCTATTGAACTGATATTCCCTAGTATTTTTCCTCCAGTCACCTTGCTACTCATCTTTCTTTCTTTAAGATGATGCTTGACTTCCACATCGTTGAAATATCTTATGCCTCAAATATAATTAAATATTCTAATATGTGCTAAGGAGCATTATGAAGTGAAATTGGACATCAGATGACATAGGAAATGTTGTGGCAGCAGTCTTTGCCTAGTCTCTGTGTGTGAGCTGGGGGTTATGATCAAAGAAGATTAGGTTTAAATCATAGATATTAATTAGATTACCTTGTAATTTAGCTTTCATCTGCTAAAGCTGCTGTATTAATAATAAATGTTAATTTTTATTTAAGCTATAAACTTGGTTCTGAGATCTGTTATTCATAAAGTATCATTAGGAACAATTGGGTAATTTTGAGGGTCATTGAATTTTCCAATTTCATTATGTTGTGAATCCAGTGATTGTGAGGCTGATTTACTTTCTGTTACTGTCTACTTGTTGTAACAATCCAATATCTCTGTAACCATGTCCTTTAATATCTTAGGATGCAATCCATCAGTTCCAAATCCAGGGGATGTTTTGGTCTTTAACTCCATTTGTTTCCCTAGCACTTTGTCCCTTAATTATTTAGTATTGTTGGAATGTTATTAGTGTCTTTGACTGTGAAGATGAATGCAACTTTATTTGTTCACCTCATATGCCATTTCCTGGTTCCCCATTATTAGGTCCCCAGCTTAATTCTCAAAGTTCACTTCTGCAATTCTTTCTCTTTTCCTGGATTTAAAGAGGCTTTTGCAGTCTTTCTTGATATTACTTGCAAATGTATGCTTAAAGTTTGTTTTCTCCCCCTTTTTATTGTTTTCTGGTTATCTTTTGTTGGATTTCAAAACTTCCCCATCCTCGAGCTAATGACTCATTTTTGCCACATGGTTTTTTTCTTTTAATCTTAACTTTTTGGATGACCATATTTGGCTATCCCCTTCCTAGAATCTTTCTTCCTCGTTGAAGTATGCCTTTGCAATGAGCCATGAACTATTTTCTTAAACTTTTGCCATTGTGTCTCACCTGTCTTTGCTACTAAACTCCCCCCAGTCCACTCCAGCCAGTTCTGCTCTCAGCCCTTTGTATTCCCATCACTTTTCATCTCAGCATGTCTTGGATTACTTCACAATGCTATCTGTTTATTGATGAACACTGCAGTATTATAAATTAATGAGGAAGTCACTCATTAATTTTACCAGCAGATTGAGTTTTTTTTTGCGCTGCCTTTACAATGTTTTTATGCTGTTAAAATCTGGATCTGTGACCTCGATGAATTTGAAGAATTTGGTAAAATCTAATGAAGGACTTGCTACTGTAAAATAGTTGAATTCAACTTAAGATAAATGCACAGGGCAGATCGTAAAGGTGATTTGTTTGAACTAACTTGGAGCCTTTGGTCAATGGGCTTCATCCAATACCCAATTGCATGTTGAGTTGAAAGCCTTGTATATTTCTGTACACTTAAAAACTCAGGCCTTCTTCTTTAAATTTCATTTATGTGAATGCTTTCTTCTTGCAACAGTTTTACAGTTTTTGAAAGATTTCCAGAATTGACAGGGGATTTTTGTAATTATTGCACACGTTACAAGTTAGTTAAAAGGTATATTGAAGCTCCTAAAACCTTTCACAATATGACTTAAGGTTTTCTTTTCTAGGCCTAAATATATTTGTGATATTTTTCTGTTTGACCTTCAGTGTTCAAGTTGATATTTTCTTTCTTGCAGTGATAAGTGTAAAGCCAGAGGCTTCACAGTTATAGTGGATGGCCGGAAATCTCAATGGAATGTAGTGAAGACGGTTGTGCTGATGCTGCAGGTAAGGTTTCCTCACAGCTAATAGACATGCATGTAACTCAATTCAAGTCTTATCTAATTTTATTCATTTCCATTAAGGTATATGTAATAGTACAGAAGACACCTTATTATTTCCCTCAAGTACTAATAGCTTCTGAAGAGAAAACACTGCAAAGAAATTGGACACCTGAATATTTGACAAATTGTGGAGGGTTTTATAATGACTGTGACTTTTTTTTAACCCAATACATTTTTGATTGTATTTTACTCTTTTCAGCTTATTGAAAACATATAAATTAGATTAAATGTGAAATTCATAGAAATGCTTCCTCTGTTTTAGTAAATGTATAAACAGAAGAGAGGCTTATTTGCTTTTGGAGTGAAGTACTATTATATTGGACCAAGGCTTATATATTTGGCTCTTGTCCCTTAGTGCTGGGAAACTTTGAGCAATATGAATTCTTGGCTGTTTAGTATCCACAATTGTTTGCCAAAATTCCACCTCCCAATGACTTTTTAACATTCAACTTTATGTAGATTTAGAACTAAGTGAAACTTCAGCATTTATGAAGTTATGATAAGTTTAAATTTTGTAAGATCCATTCTATGTCGTAGTGAGGGAATTAGTATGATTGCAGTAAGTTCTGTTTGTGCACGTAAGTAGCCATGCTTCATTAGTTATCTGAACTATAGTGCCAAGAAAATTAACCGCATGGTGGTAAATCCAATGGATTAAATCAATGACCTCTGTTAAGTAATCTTTTTTGTAGGAAGATATGATCAATCTTTCAGGCCAGGCATTCTGTTTGGCTATAAAATGTTTGATGTTCTTGCGCTCCATCAGATTTGAGCGGAGCAACAAAGGCCATTCCTATGAATGAACAGTTGCTCTCTGCAAACGAGAGCATGACCTTATACTCTCAGTATCTACTGATGAGCACGTTCAGGATTTGAACCCAAATTTTTAATATAATTATACAACTGAATTGATGCAAATCACATCATAGTTTCTGGCTTCTGGGTAGCAAAAATAATTAACATTATAACTGACATAAAAGAAATCTATTTTGTAATTTAGAACAAGTAAAAATAGACAGTAGTGCAATAGATAACAAATTGTGGAGCTGGAGGAACACAGCAGGCCAGGCAGCATCAGAAGAACAGGAAAGCTGACGTTTCAGGTTGGGACCCTTCTTTAGAAAAGTTTTCTGAAGGAGGGTCATGCCCGAAACATCAGCTTTCCTGTTTCTCTGATGCTGCCTGGCCTCCTGTGTTCCTCTAGCTCCACACTTTGTTATCTCTGACTCTAGCATCTGCAGTTCTTGCTATCTCAGTCATGCAATAGACTTAATTTTATTGCATTAGTTTGCAACTCAATGAATCAGAAATGCTTAGTGTGAATGTTGCTAACTCTTGATATCACTTAAGCTAGACTGGCAATGTAATATCAAAAAATATACCTCAAGTTTTTTTTTCTTGAGGCTAAACATAATGACGTTTTCCTCACTAAGAAAAGTAATTTACTACATAACAGTGTGTATAGAAATAGCATTTTATTGGTTGATAATTTAGTTTTCTGTAGAAAAGAGAAGATGGATTCACTTTTGCTCCTTTAGTCCCCTCTGATGTTCCCTACATTTCTTTTGCTCCCCCTCACAGCTCTCCTAGCATAACTATTTTTCATCTTCTAATACTCTTTGCCCTCACCTAATCTGATCACTTGGGTCTTTTTCTCCATTTCTTTGCTGCCTCCTGCTGCTTTCGTTGTAAGTGGCATTGATTTTTTGACTTGTACCGATTGTTGCTTCTCCTATTCTGAATGCCAATGAATTTCCTTCTCTTGCCAACTATGATCCTACTTCATGCTCTGTGACCTTTCTCCATCCTGTGGTTCTTTTGCTACATCTCAATGTCGCCAACCACTGACAAAAATCTCTTCTATTACTGCACAATTAGAGATGCACCCCAAACTTATTTTCTCTTTCTTCGTTTATCCTTCCAAGTTCACTTCCTGACATCTTGCTTTCATCACATCCAAGTATCTCCAGACCTTGAAGCTTTCCTTCCAGGCCTCTCTTTGCAGTGCTTCTAAATATAAGCATCACACTCTAGTCCAACTCTCTTAATACTGTCAAAATATAGAATTTCAATTCAACTAATGGTACCCTGATGCAGCATTTGCAAACCTCTGTATCCACATCTGCTATTTTTCTGTTTCCTCATCATCATTCTTGTGCTGTTAATTCCTGCTAGATCCTTTTTTGGTGCTTTGATATTCCAGTACAACTGTTACTTTGTTCTCCTACTTTCCTCTGAATCAAGTCCCTCCCAGTTCCTCAAGACACTGCTTTCTTTTAGCTCTCAATACGAGGTCCACCACTGATTTTTTTGTTTATTTGAAATTGGGTTATAATCCAGTTGTAGTTATGCAATGCCTTCAAGGAGTGTCCCTACCAATGGAAGAACCTTATCACTTGAAGACATTTTCAGTAGCTTCAAGAGCAGGTATCAAGTTCAATCATGTTGAGATCTTTGGCTGTAATCATGTTGGATTTGGGTTACAGTGGCAAGGGAGTAAATCTGGTTATGAGCTATCATTATTGTCCACTGCCAACACCATGCCTATCTGGCCTACTTGTGACTCTTAACTGCTCTCTGAAATGGCCTAACGAGCTACCCAGTTCAAGGTTATGAGGGACAGACAGAGAATGCTGGCCTTTCCGATGATACCTACACTCATAAGGGAATTAAGAAAAAAACATAACCAATGAGTGCTGTCAAAGTCATGCTCCACCTGACTTGGAAATATATTGCTGCTCCTTTATTACCGATTCACTTTCCTGGAATGTCCTATGTGAAATCCTGTAGGCATGTTGAAGATTGACAATAAATGTTGGCCTTTCCAATCTCCTTTATTTTGTGAACAATTTTTTAAGAAGTCCATGTAAAAAGAAGGAAGGCTAAAGCATTACCAATTTTTGGTTCAACCTCAGTCAGAATATTGTGTACAATTCAGGCTTTCAGAACGATATCAAGATCTCGGATAGGACACGAAGGAGTTACCAGGATGATACCAGTCGTATGGAGATTTTAGAGAAGCTCAGATTATCCTCCTTGAGCAGAGCTAATTGAAATATTCAAAATGATGATGAGTTTTAATAGAGCAAGTAGGGAGGAACGGTTTCCCCTGGCAAACAGTGTTCCCTCCAGTCTGTGTGATTGCTCTGCTGGAAAGTCCTGAGCATATCAATTGTCATGCAGCTGTGTGACATCTGTTGCATGCAGGAACTTTGGAGATCCATGTGGGAGAAAGAAAATTCAGTAGGAATGTTGCTGGAAAATGACTGGATAGCCAGGGATTGTAGATTAAATATGTGACAAGAAACTAATGGGAAATGTAGGGAAAATACTTTGCATGAGTGTTGTTTATATCTAGATTGTGCTACCTGAAAAGTCAATTTTACATACAAGATTGAGTTCATTTCCAGTTCTGGACCATACTAAACCCCTTCAAACTATATTAAGACGAAAGCCTAGAGCCTAACTTTGTCTTTTTTTAAAAGTGTAAGGCATTGTGTTCCAGATGCCATTCGATTGGTCAAACTATTCAACTTTAAGCAAAATACGTTTTATTTTACACTAGAGTTAAAATAAAGATAAAATTAAAAGAAAAAATTGGCTTAACTGTAATTCTATCAAAATGCTTAACAAAATAATATAGAAAAACTACTAATTACCCATTTCAATACAATAATATCCCTTTGGCAAAGACAAATTAAGTAAAATAGATTGTCTCACGTACAATTCTAGCAGCAGGAAGAGACCCCAGCTTTTAGCTGTAACAGAGAGAGGAGTAAGAGCTTCCACATCCAGATTCAATACCTCAGCAACTGCAGAAAGCTAAATCTAAAAATCGTAGTTCTGTGGAAGCTTTTCCCCCACTCATTCAGGCTGCTTCTATTGTTCTGACTTTTAAAAAGAAAAGCCCTGAAGGCCTCACAAGCTGTTTAATTTATTCACTTTGAACAGACTACTCTGAACCTCTGTCTCAACCCTTTTTCATATTAAAAAAAAAGGACAAGAAACACTCATTAAAGCCATAATATTGTCACAGCGGAGAAGAGTTTGGGTATGAGATTAAATTGGACCAGCACAATGTGACAAATTGAATCAGAGATAGTAGGAACTGCAGATGCTGCAGAATCCGAGACAACAAGGTGCAGGGCTGGATGAACACAGCAGGCCAAGCAGCATGATAGGAGCAGAGAGGCTGACGTTTCGGGCCTAGACCCTTCATCAGAAAAAAAATGTGACAAATGGTGGTTTTATTTACTGTAAGATTCCATGAACATATTACTTTACTTGATCTATCCGAACATTCTACTGCAACTGCAACATGACATTATGAATGTTTCAAGTATGTGCCAGGGCAAAAATAAACCATCATTTAAATCTGCTGTAAGTGTCTATGCACTGCACATGTCACCATAGAAGATTTATTACATTGTTGATCAGCTACGGTAAAATCATACCAGGAAACATTAATGTCAATTTATTCTGGTAAATCTAGGGAATAATATTGACATCTGACTACATGTCATTGTACCCTGATTGGTCAGGGTACAGTATGATGAAAGAAGCTTCATTATTTCCACTGTTTTAAAACACATTACTTTTTATCAAATTTGTCTCACTCCGGAGGTATTTGCTTTTTGAAGTATTATTTTGAGGGAACCAGTTGGTCATCATTCATGTATAAGGCTTGACTGTGAATATTGCAGAAGAACTGAGCCAACATTATAGTTGAGGCTTACTGCGCACTCCCTGACATTCATGCACATACACGAGTCAAAAATGAACAAGAGAAGGACTAGAATGAACAGTGCAGAAGTAGAAGTTTTATTATTTTTGATTTCACAACCATGAGGAGAACATTGATGAGGGAGAGAGAAGAGGATCCAATCCAGACTTGAGTCCTAATCTAAAATCTTACGTTATGCTTTTCTGGCAAAACTTCTGGAATCAAACCCAGTGTGTGACTTGCATTTTCACTCCTAAGAATTAGAATTAAGTTTTATAGCTATGTGAAAAGTGTACAAAGTCGTCACCTCGGAAGTCACTCCTGCTGCTGCCGCAGGAGCTTGGAAGTTGCTCCTGCTGCCGCCGCAAGCCCTTTTTTTGTACTGGAGTATAGGTAGTTCTCCTATAACGTAATAGTTGCATTCTTGCGTGACCTCGCACTGTAGAAAATCGCTTTACAGGGAAATCACTATGGAAAATCGCTATACCTGACAGCAGAAAGTTTGCGTTATCCAAACTGCATCCACTATTCATCAATCACGTTACAGCCAATGTTTGTTAACGAAACACATGCTATAGCAGAATTAGCTGTAATTGGATAAATGCCAGATTAATGAAGCATACAATAGTACCTCAGAATCTGTTGCATTTCAGTCAAGACTAAGGACAAAATCGCCAATTGTATCGAGTTATGTGACCTAGAGTTATGTGCTTGCCTGAGAAGTTGCATGTTCAAAGCTGATTAATTATTCCTACATTCAATCTTTAGCATTTTCTTGAGGAGGTTTGGCAACTAAAATCTGTGATTTGAGAGTCTGCAATATTGATTTGCAACAATGTTACCAAAGGTTATTCAGTTATTGTACAAATCAGCTTTGAGGCCCTGGTGTCTGAATTTAGGCTGCTGCAAACCAGGGGTTTTGGTATCTGATGACCACCATTAGATAAGGCATTGTACTGATTTGTGTGTTCCAGTGACCTGAAGCTGGCAGAGGTAAAACTGCCTACCATAAGTTCGTGAAAGTTAGGCGCAGAAATACGCCATTTGGCCCATCAAGTTCACTCCTGTGTCTCATGACCTTATGGTCTTATGATAGACAGGTTTACTCCAGCCATCTTCATGTTGTTGAATAACTGCAATAAGTTTATTCCCTTCCTAAAATCCTTCTTCCTCACTGGGATACATCCTTGTTGTGGGTCCTGAATTATGTTTTTAAAAGTCTGTCATTGTCATTGTTCATCAATCATCTTTTCTGCTAAACCCCTTTTGTGCATTCCCGTCAACTCTGCCATCATTCCCATGAAATTACCCTTATTTTGGTTTAGCCTAGCTTCCAGCCCAAGTTTCTTATTCTCAAACTGAATGCTAAATTTTGCCATGTTACGGTCACTATTCCCTTGGGAATCTTTTATTCTGAGATAATTTATTAAACACGTTTATTACACATTAACAAATCTGAAATAGCCTGATCCGTGGTTGGATCCACAATATTGTTCTAGGAAACTGTCCTAAATAGAAAATAATATATGACCATGTAAGCATTCTATGAATTCTTCCTCATGGCTTCCTCTGTCAACCTGACTACTCCAATCTACATGAAGACTAAAGTCACCAATGATTAATGTACTGCCTTTGTTACATGTGCTCGTTATCTCCTGATTTACTCTCCGTCCCACTGTACTGTCAGGGAGCCTGTAGTCCACTCCTACAGGTGTCTTCTTTCTCTTTCTTACCTAGAACTTGAACCCTGGCCTTCTGGCTCAGAGGTAGGAACACTACAGCTACATTGTAAGATCCCCTTCAGGAGAAACACCCCCAGACATTTTCCTGAGTATGGCATGAAGTATTCACTTATATTTCTCTGCCTCAAGTATCAGGAGTGAGTCCTGAACCCACCACCTTTCAACTCAGAAGTAAGAGTACTACCAACCTGAGCCACAGCCAGAAACTATAAGTTAGTTTTCAATCAACCTGTTCAGACATGTCTCCAGGATGGCTGGGACTTGAACCTGGATTTTCTGGCCCAGGGTACAGTACCATTATGCCACATGAGTCCAAAGCTAACTCTGAATTACTTTCTAATCAACCTGTTCAACCTATTACACACCTCTGAATCAGGTGGAAGTGAAATCCGGGTCTTCTGATGTGTGCCTTGCAGTTTCCTCTTATGTCTGTAGCAATGCATGTATTGAAGAAATGAAGACAAGGCAGTTGCGAACTGAATTACCTTAATCATATGTTTATTCTCTTTACAGGTATTATGAATGTAAAGTAATATTCCCAGTATCGCAAAATTTTGGGGAAAAGATGTAAAAATGGTCCTCCACGCATGAAAGTGACGCAGATTTTCTTCTGTTACCTAGAATGTGATTCCTGCTGAGGTGTCTTTAGTCTGTGTGGTGAAACCAGATGAATTCTGGGACAAGAAAGTGACTCATTTCTGCTTCTGGAAGGAGAAAGATAGACTTGGATTTGAGGTATGTGAACACTGATGTGTTCTCCAGCATGGGTATTGTGTTCTTGCAATTTTTAATCTGGTTTACAGTCTCCAATATTACTTTACTTTCATTAAATGTACTATCAATGTAGAACTCAAACCTAATTTCTAATAGTGCTACTCAGTGTCTGAAAATAGGAAGTCTTCAGAGTTTTTACAGGTTTACAGATTTTTCGGAGTATTTACAGATTAAAACCATCACATTTGTGGAAAATCTACAACAAATGTTTACAGTAAGCAGATTATAAATATCATCTTTCTGCGTTCCTGAAAATGACATTGTACAAATAACCTATTGTTGGAGCTGGTGTAAAAAATAGCATTTTAATTAATTTGATTGTCATTGTTTATTGAATAGTGATACCTTTGTTAAGAAGATATAGGATTGATTCTTTAAATAAGGATGAAGTTGGTGGACGTTCATAGTTTCACATTTTTCAGGAAGTTAAAATAATTCTGATTTTCAAATTTGGAAGAATGCGCATAATCAAACTTTTCTGAAAACTAGATCTACGTCTTAGTGTTGGGCATTTTAGATTTTTTTATTTATGCACTGAAGTGGATTAAATACTCAAGAAAAATAATAGGCTTATTACTTTTACACAATGATCTAAGTTTCATAAACAGCTGTGAAGCAGCAGTATTTACTGTTGACCTTCAATAGAGCTGCAGAATCTAATGATCTGTATAACACCAAATTCCCCTTTCCTCATGTTGCTTTAAATATGGCTCTAAGCCAAGGGAATCATCAGGTGTTCAGCAATAGTGATATCAAGCAGGGTAAGCAGCCAACCGTATTGCAGTATACTTTCAGAAACGAAACCAGGAAGTAAGAACGACTAAATTCCTTCATTTTAATTTTTAAATTTCACAGTGAGATAATAGCTGAAGAAGCATCACTGGACTCGAAATGTTAACTCTGCTTTCTGTCTGCAGATGCTGCCAGAATTCCTGAGTTTCTCCAGCAATTTGTTTTTGTTTCAGATTTCCAGAATTCGCAGTTTTTGTTTCAATTCTTTTTATACATGGGCTGAAGTTAGAACCTGAAATAAACTGTCAAAAGAATAATTATTTGCATACTGCATGGGAATTTTTATTGTTTTAGAAGAAAATGATATTTGACAAATACAAAATTAATCTTTTAGAGCCATTGAGGCTGTTTTAGAAAGAACAATGAATTTATACTGTTAAAATCGAGTTACACCTCACTTAAACTGTAACAAGACTTTTTACTGTTAGACAAAGAGCAGGAGAGTGTAAGTTCTTGTCAGTTCAGTGATTAAGAATAGATTACATTTTAGAGGTCCACAACTATGCATCTCCTGGAGTCAAGAAGAATCACTGATAGCTACCTGTGGGCCTCCATGTTTAACTACTTAACTGTTAACTAATCTACAAGTTCCAAAAATGCATGCTGATAGTTTTGAAATTGCGCTGATTACAGCAATGAGGCCAACTCTAGATAGAAATAGATCAAATAGTCTCCCTTATTCTTAACTATTCTTAACTGTCTGTTGTTGAATGGGATTCTGGGCAATGTTTCGAGTGCATACTCCAACTTAGATGGCAAATGTTTATATTCACCATTCTACCTATAGAACATTACAGTGCAGTACAGGCCCTTCGGCCCTCGATGTTGCGCCGACCTGTGAAACC